AATACAGACACAAATAAACTAGACCAACACACATTAGCGCTACATACTATAATGTTAACTAGCTAATTACGAAATAACAACACTAGAATCAACAAGTAAAATATTAGTCATATATTTAACCACAATTTTCCAGCAGCCAAAGAGACTGCTATACTAGATACATAGGTGAAGATTCAAATGACCTACTAGTTAATAGTTAATACTAACAGTACGACGTTTCCTCAGGCGGTTTTGACACGTCTTTGACTAGATGTCTATTTGAATGAAAAGTCACTAAGAAATAATGGAGAACAGCAAGGGAGTCAATGAGCGAAAGTTTACACATTCCAAGTTGTAAATTTGTAAAGCAGTCTGTCATAGACTCGGTCATTTTTCTGGTAAGGTCAAAGAAACTGAACAAATTTGATGATTTTCAAATTTATCTCGGACAAAAGATACGACAAGGTTTTAAATTGAGATGGCAAGATTAGACAAGCAGAAAAGTAGTCAACTAAGATAAGACGATCTTAACTCCCAAACCTTTTTGTTCGACTAGCACGATTCTTTGATCACAAGTCCTGCAAACATTTTAAATTATAATGTGTTTCCCTATCTCACTAAGTAAAAAAGAGAATTTGGATTTAGACCTATACTCTTGTTACCCGTATAAGATGAAACATGCATTTCACTTGCCTCTATAATCTAATTTTAAACTTTCCCATGGTTGCTTTAAAGTTCCAACTTGAATTCCTCTATTACCAAGCAATAAAACGAAAGTAAGACTATGCAGCAAAACGATATGTACTTTAAAAAAAGTAAACTTGATGTCTATTTGAATGAAAAGTAAACTTGGAAACAAGATTAGGATAGATGGATTGCCAGTGACGCTGAGAAGAGAACTAAAAAGAACAAGAATCCGGAGCCAAAATAGCAACAATTTTTTGCTAAAATGCCAAAAAGACAATCAACAACTGAAATATACCAAAGGGGAAAAGGCAAAGGGCTAACCACGCCTTGCCCCTTGTCCCGAAACGCCGTTTAACAATGTTAAGGGGAAGGTGCACAGGTGACCACGCCTTACACCCTGGTGGACCCCTTCCCCTTCTCACACCTCAGCCGCCACACAGACACTGCACACTGCCCCAACCCCCCCTCCTTTTGGTCATTATTTTGTGTCACTTTTACAACTTTTTTTTTTTTTTAATAATGATGATGATATGTTAGTAAGTTTAGGCTCATCTCAATTATTTTACTAGATATTTAACTAGCGTTTGATCATGAAATTTGACTTGATTTTGAAAATCTGATTTTAAAGTAATCAAAAACTTGGTTAGATTAGTGATTCAGGACTTCCACTAACAAAACTTTAAAAAAGAAATCAAGTAAAATGCAAGTCCAGACACAATTTCAAATTTCAAAAAATCACAACTTCAAAAACTCAAATTTTCAATTTCAAAATCTATCCAAACGAGAGTTTACTATTTCAACCTGTTTTAATTGATGTGACATAATTTAAATTAATACAAAATAAGAAAAAATAAGACTTTTGAAATTGTTATTTAAATATGGAAAAATAATAACTGTATACATATAAAACGTTCGAATCTTATAATCTTAAATATGTCATAATATTTGTGGGATTATAATTTTTTTCATTAAAAGGTAAAACAAGAAGTACAACACAGTAAAACAAAGGATTTTACTTTATAAATCATATTCACAGTTATGTACCATTTTCTATTTTTCTTTTAACCTTATGTTCATTTTATATTCTGTTGATTTAATGAAGAGTAGATTTAGACCTTCATAATGTGATTTATATGGCAATTTATTAGAAGTGGAAGAAAAAATAAACAAAAAAGGTCAAAAGAGATACAAAGCACTTGGACAATATAAAAGAGACAACTTCTTGAGGTGAACATATTGCAGTAATTGAGGGGAAGGGGGGTTGGGGCAGTGTGCGTGTGGCGGTTGAGGTGAGAAGGGGAGGGGGTCCACCAGGGTGTAAGGAGTGGTGGCCCTGCGCCTTATATAGTGTGTGGGGCCATGCGCCTTCCCCTTAACATTGTTAAACGGCATTAACAGGACAAGGGGCAAGGCGTGGGTAGCTCTGTGCCTTTTGCCCCTTTGGTATTTTTCAGTTTTTGATTGCCCTTTTGGCATTTTAGCAATAGAAGAACAAGATAGTCAATGAGCTATCATAGTTTATACATCCCAAGTTGCAATATTTTATTTGAAACTCATCCCAAGTTGTAATCTTTCAAAGAAGTCAATCACACACAAAGGTCTTTTTCTTCCGAGGTCAAGAAATCTGAACCAACTCGACGACTTTCGAATTTATCTTGGACAAAGTTATGACAGTTTTATAATTGAGAGGGTAAGATTATTTTTGCTTTGTTTACCGAATTATTATAATTGTAATTATTGTAGAGAGGAATATGATACTTATATTATTTTCAATCTTAGAGAAGTTCTTAGTAGGCAAGCAGTGAAACGTGATAAGAAGAATGTCAACATTAGCTACAATAACTTTGACATAATAACACTAGTCAGAATTTTTATTAAGCAAATTTAAAATATAAAGAAATAACTATATAAAAAATTTTAAAAAATTAATATTAGTATATATATATATATATGTGTGTATACAATAATTTAAATTATATATAAATAAAATATTTTCTTATGGGAGTTCAAGATTTACAAAATCTCAAATCACATACTTTTCTTTTTAGAATATCTTAACATAAAATAATAGCTTTGTTTTTTTTTTTGGAAACAATATCTTTCTTCTTTCTTCCAAAAACATATTTAATTTTGTCATTTCAAGAAAATGAAAAAGACATGTAAAACTATTAAAAAATGTTATCCCCGTCCACTTTGACTTTATATAAAAAAAATCATGATGATTAATATGAAATTCATTATAATATTTATATTAATTAATGTATAGTCTAGATATTAAGAAGTAATTGAAAAAAAATAAGTAATTAATATAAAAAGTAAAATTTAAAAAATCGTTCTAAAATTACAAATAATAAAAAAATTATTCAAAAATATTTAATAAATAAAAATAAACGAAGAAAGTATTTAGTAGATATGGCTGCAGCAAGATTAGGCAAAGTGATTTAAAATTAACACAATTCACAAAAAGTCAGAAATTCAAATTGATGGATTAGAATATAACAACTCGAAGGACGTTAACATTTTATTATCTATAGTTTCTTACTTAGACGTAATCGATATCTAAGTCAAAATTTTTATTAAGGAAAATTAAAATATGTATGAAAAGTAAATATAGGAAAAAGTCAAAGGATATTTCAACATGTAATATATATATATATATAAATTAATCGTATATAAATAATATTATTTTCTTTAAAATTTAAGTGAACCCCTTATCTCTGCTCGACTCCATTAATAGGGAGTATAATCAAACAACAAAGTATGATTAATTTTTGATGATTGTGGACCTAGCAAGTTTTTTGATGATGTTGAACAATCACCATCCCTTTACTACCTCAATGTTGATAAGGTTGTGTTATATCTTTTTTATTATATTAGTTTTTCGATAGCATATATATTAAGTTATGTAATCCTTATCATAGATAATGTCAATATATATTATTATAATTAAATATAATATGTGACTCATTTATTGAGGTTTTGATGCATGATTGGATATTGTATGAACCTATGATTGCGAAGAATCAAATTATTAATGTTGTAAATAAAAAAATTAAAACAATATTATGTAAATTAAGGTATAAAATAGTATATTTTTTTACTTAATTGAGAAACTTAGCTCCGAAATATTACGATCTTTCAAACCCTAGCTCCGATTTTCGGTAGAATTATGGTTGCTGGCCAGCCGTTGAGTGTTGGACCGGCATTACAGTTATACAATGATTCTGCATTTCCCATCCTATGCCATACAAATGCAGAACCATCAAATGATGGGAAATCACATGGTAATTTGAATGACGGAAAGAATTTTGTCCCAATATATGCTAATATGTTTAAAAGTGATAAGGAGAAAAATACCATTATGCCAGCAGTGGAACCAATTCCGGTCAAACAAGTATCCTATAACAATGGGGTTCCAAGGATAGTCTGGACCGAAAAAGAAGTCGATATGATGAACATCATAGAAAATCTGCAATACGCAGTTGTTGGGAAGTTTTCGTATGGTTGGCCTGATTTGGATGAATTGCGCATACAAATTCCTAAGCAATGCAATGTTAAGGGGGATTGTAAAATCGGGTTACTACGAAAAAGACATATTCTTATAAGATTCACTAGAGAGGAAGATTTCATCAATATGATGTCTAAGCCAGCGTAGTATATATTATCCAAGGATGGATATTCATATATGATGCGACCTCTTATTTATGATGCACAATTTAATGCAGAAAAGGAAACCACTCAAGCAATGGCATGGATCTCCTTTCCAGAATTAAGACCCACTTTTTTTGTAAAGGAATCCATTTTCTCTCTAGCCTTAGCAGTAGGGAAACCATTACACCTTGATGTAGCTACGATAAATAAAACTCGGCCGAGCTGTGCAAAGGTGAAGGTACAGGTGGATTTATTAGCAGATCTCCCCAAAGTCATAGAACTAGAGGTGAGAAATGAGGTTACAAAGACATCAAGAGTTGAGAAGGTTAAGATACAATATGACTTGCTGCCAAAGTATTGTCAAACATGCAAGTTACAAGGTCATGCAGAGATGGAATGTAAAGTATTACATCCTGAATTCAAAGTAACAGTAGATGAAGAGGAGGAGAGGCAGGACAATGTCGACTCACTGGAGGCAACTGGAATACCTGTGATTCGTGTTGGAAAACAACTCAGAAAATGGCACCCTACAAGTAGATTTATCTCAAGGAAGAAGCAAAGTGAACACTGAAACGATGATACAACGATGAGAATTGGCAAATCTTTTGCATCTCTTAACGATGAAGATGCAAATAGTGAACAACAAAGTGACAATCTATCGACTAATGGTAGGGCAAAAGAAATAGACAAAAACAATCATACGCATATAGACGACAACTTTCATTAGCATGTATCAACTAAGGAATGGGTCACAGAGGTATTTGCACAACAAGAGAAACAAACCAACAACAATAATAATAGCATGTACATAAAAGTGAAAGAGTATACAGGGCAAAGGGTAGAAGAGGCTGGAACACTAGTGCAGAATGTTGTACAACAAATAGATGGAGGAGCAGTAGTAATATATGATGTAGCTGTGAAGGCTGTTGCTGGAGTAGGGACTGCCTGTGATGATGCACCTGCAAGTGATCGAAAAAGTGAGCAAGTAGTATGCTGAAGGGTGAAATGAAAGCAATTGTCACAGCACAAGACATGAAAATAGCAACATACCAGGAACCTTTGCAGATGGTGGTGGAAGGTGAGGTGTAGATCCAATTCCAGCAGAACCAGGAGGTGCAAGAGTGCACAAATGCAAGTATTACAAATTTCAATACTAGCAAATCATCACCAATGGAAGCTCTGCATGCTTTGGTGTCTCATAAGGTGGAGCAACTGCAAACCAAAGACCAAAATAAGGAAAATCAAAAGCTTGAAGTAGGAGAAATTGAAGAGCGGGAAAATGACTCTAACTTGGTTCAACTATGCAAAGGGGCAGGCTTATCACCTAAGTTATGCACAAAAGGAATAAAAGGTAAAGTTAAAGGAGACAGTAATTGTATTTTACCTACAAGGGTTCAAGCTAGGAGGGTTGCCAAAACAGTTTCTAAATGAAGTACAAAGCTTTATTTAGGAATATTAGGTCTGTTAATACTCAACAGGCATTTCACAGAGTTCAAATGCTCCACAAACATCATAAGTTTTTGTTGATTGCATTAATGGAGCCATTTCAAAATTCTAGGCATATTCGAAGATACAAAAGAAGATTAGGGCTGCACTACGTCAACTACAATGTGAATGGTCAAATTTGGGTGTTTGTGAAGCAACACGTTCATGTAGGAGTTATAGCTGACTCAGCGCAATAATTAACTTTACAACTCACTCTGGAAAATGGGGAGCAACTTTTGGTATCTGCTGTATATGCAAAATGTTATGCTATTGAAAAACTTTCTCTCTAGGATGAGATATTCACAATAAGCCAATAATATGTTATCCCCTGGATGATCGGGAGTGATTTTAATATGATATTGAGTGAAGAAGAAAAGATTGGTGGTTTACCAGTATATCCCCAAGAGTATGAAAATTTTGCTGAATATTTAAATGCAAGTGGTTTGGCTGATATTACTTTCTCAGGAAACCCTTTCACCTGGTGAAATGGTAAGGTAGATGGGGAATGCATTTTTAAGAGATTGGATAGGGTAGTGGTGAATAATTTATTTCTGGACTTATATGGCAATTCATGGGTACAACATTTGGCTAGGACTGGGTCTGATCATGCCCCACTCCTGCTTACTTGTGGAGCCAGTAAAGGTAATATTGTCAAACCTTTTAGGTTTCTTAAGTTTTGGACTGCAAGAGAGGATTTTAAAGAAGAAATGGAGCAGAACTGGGTGGCTGAGAGTTCAGATGATATTTTTGTACAGCTTAAGCAGAAACAATAGAGGACCAAGAAGGCTTTAGCCAAGTGGAGTAAAGAAAATTTTGGGCATATTTTTAAACAATTAGCAATTAGAAAAGAAATAGTGAAATTGAAGGAGTAACTATTTCTTGACGATCCATCACCCGCTAACAGAAGTATTCTTCAGAAGGCTCATGTAGAGCTGAAGGTTTATGTACAGTTTGAAGAAGAGTTTTGGAGACAAAAAACTAGTGTGTAGTGGTTTGACGAAGGGGACAGGAACACTAAATTTTTTCACAGTTTAGTGAGAGGAAGAAGAAAGAGGCTTTACATGATGAGAATAATTAAATCTGATGGCTCATGGGCAGAATCAGAAAATGCGATTGCAGAGAAAAGGGTTAATTTTTTTACCAAACAATTTACTGCAGGGGTTAATCATTCTGACCTATCTCTACTAATGCATATTAATCCTGTAATCTCACAAAAGGAAAATGATATATTGACCAAGTTACCTGATGAGGCTGAGATCAAAAGGGTAGTATTTGAGTTAAATGCAGAAAGCTCTTATGGACCAGATGGTTTTTCTAGTTGTTTTTATCAGAATTGTTGGGACACTGTTGGTTCAGATGTGATAAAAGTAGTTCAAGCTTTCTTCAAATGAGCTACTTTACCTAAGTCTATTACTCATACTAACTTGGTGCTATTACCTAAAAAGGATTTTCCTCAATCCTTTTCTGATCTTAGACCTATTAGCTTGAGTAGTTTCCTTAATAAAACCATATCTAGATTGGTGCATGATAGAATGAAGGTGTTGCTTCCTAGATTGATATCCCAGAATCAATCTGGATTTGTCAAAGGAAGAAATATAACTGAAAATGTATTGCTGGCTCAAGAAATTGTTACTGATATTAGGTTGAGGGGTAAACCAGATAATGTAATTATCAAGCTTGACATGGCAAAGGTGTATGACAAGGTTGATTGGAGATTTTTTATTAAATTAATGGAAAAAATGGATTTCAATTCTATGATGCTTTACATGATTTGGAGAATTATTGCTAATAATTGGTACTCTATATTGATTAATGGTCAAGCACATGATTTTTTCCATTCATCAAGAGGGGTTAAACAAAGAGATATTTTGTCTCCTTCTTTGTTTATACTTACTGATGATGTATTAATGAGAGCTCTAAATCATCTATTCCTAGAAGAGGAATATAAAGGATATGGTCGTCCTAAATGGAGTGAACAGTTGAATCACTTATCTTATGTTGATGATACAATTATTTTTGCCTCTGCTGATAGGAGTTCTGTACAGTTGATAATGCACACATTGAAAATGTATGAACAAGAATCAAGACAACTTATAAACAAAGAAAAAAGTTTCTTGTACTTGTTTAACAAAGCTGCTCTTAGCTCTGTTAAAATGGTGGAGGAAATGATAGGTCTCTGCAAAGGGAGCTTTCCTTTAACTTATTTGGGTTGTCCTATTGGTCATGATAAGAAGAAGAAGATTCATTTCAAAGAGCTCATCAAGAAGATTCAGAATAAACTTCAAATGTGGAAAGGGAAACTTCTATCTTATGGGGGTAAAGCAGTGTTGATTAACCATGTATTGCAGAGTATTCTTGTCTACCTCCTATCACGCCTCCTAAATGTGTCATTGATGATATTCATAAGATTTTTGCAAAATTCTTGTGGAATTCTAAAGAACAAGGAAGAGCCACTCACTGGGTAGCATGGGGGGATATTTGTCTACCCAAAAAGGAGGGAGGTTTAGATTTTAGATCTTTATTTGATGTTTCCAAAGCTTTATTTGCTAAGCTGTGGTGGAATTTTAGAACAAAAAATACCATGTGAACTAATTTTATGTGGAATAAGTATTGTAAAAGACAAAGGCCACAATTGGTGGACTGAAAAGAAGGATCTTAAGTTTGGAAAGCTATGTTACAAGCTAGGGATTTCTTTGATCAAAATATCTGGTGGGAACCTAGAGAAGGACATGCTAGTGTGTGGTTTGATAACTAGACACAACTGGGTGCTTTGCATTTTTTGATGCCTATATCACATAACCAAAGTCAACTGGAAGATGTCAAGGAACTATATGCTGAAGATGGATGGAAGATTAATGCACTGGAAAGTAATTTCAATGAGGATATATGCAATCACATATGCAATACCTTAGGAAGCTTTACTAGTACTGAAGGAAGAGATAAAGCATGGTGGATACCTAGTAGTGATGGTAAATTCAAAGTTAGCTCAGCCTGGGAATTATGCAGAAGTAGAGGAAAGAATATAAAAGATATCTCCAAAATTTGGGAGAAAGGTTCGCCTTTTAAGGTATCCTTTTTTATGTGGAGATTATGGTTTAGAAGGATTCCTATTGGGTAAGTCTTAATTAGAAGGAACATAGTGGAGATGGTTGATTGTAGTTGCTGCAATAATAGTGCTCCTGAAACTTTCTCTCATCTTTTTGTCAATTGTCCTAGTGCTCAATCTGTTTGGAAAACTTTTAGAAATGTTGCAGGGTTATCATTTCCAATTAATCAGCTTCAACAGATCATGGAAGATTGGTGGAAAGCTGATGGTAGTCCTAAATTGAATCAATTGTTTAAAGTAGTTCTTGCTTTCATAACTTGGGAAATTTGGAAGAGGAGGAATGTGATGAAGCATGGGGGAAATATGTCAACAACCTCAATGATTGTAGAGATACATAGAAACATCTACTTATTTACTAAGAGTAGATATCCATGGTTAAAGAATGTCCATCAAAACTGGCCCTTAATTGTCAAATATCTTGAAGGATATGCTCCATTGACAAAATCTATGGTGGTGAGATGGAGTCATCCCCCTGGGAGTATATAAATGCAATACTGATGCTTCTTATCGGCTTGAATCAAGAGTTGGGTGTATAGCCTTTTGTATTAGAGATATACGAGGAGATTTGAAATATGCAGAATCTAGAAGAATTAATATTACATCTATTTTGGAGACAGAGGTCATGGCAATTAAGGAAGGGTTACAGTACTGCAGTGCAAGGAAATTTCCTTCCCTTGATAATTGAGACAAACTCACTGGTGGCTCCGAAAGTTATACATGGAGTATGGGAGGTCCCATGGCAGATAGCTTAGGATATCAGACACACTCAGACTATGATAAGGAGTCATGGGGTGGATGTGGTTCACGTCCTCAGAGAAGGGAATAGCCTCGCTGATGCTTTAACTAAGTCGTTTGCTCATTTTGCATGTATAGAGAGACAACAATATCGAAATATGCAGGAACTACCACAACAGGCCAAAGCTATTTGCAACAAGACAAAGAAAACACTCCTAATTTGAGGATCCGGAAAGTTCAAAACAAACATTATAATGGTGCTTAAAAAAGAAAGAAAAAAAGAGCACCACATCAGTTCAAAGAAAATCAGGAAAGGACTAAACTAAGAAGGTGAAAGATTACCTTAGTCTCCTGGAAAAGGTTGAGCGATGCAAGGTCGGAGATCAGTCGACTTAAACAGTGGTATTAATCCCGGTGGGGTTCAACCTGTTGAGGAGAATAATCAAGGACTAGGTATCAAAGCATATCTCAAAGATGAGTAATTAAATTATAAAGGTAAAACTTATCTCAATAGATCTTGTCTTCAAATCTGGATGGCGACTGAAGCGCGTCCCCAAAATTCTTGTGCACAACTTGAGATCTAGCTCAGATCGATAAAATTTAGGTAGAAGAAGTCTTCAAAGGTATTTGAATCATTACATCAGTGAGATTTGTTGATGTGGAAGTGATTGCAACCCATACCTGGATCGATATCGAATATAGCTCATATCAAGAGGAGGTGAGTATTTGGAAGGACTAATCGTCACTTTGGGAGGATTCTCCGACTATTGTCATATCGGAGAAGCTGAATTTTTTTTTCCAGACATTAGAGTTTATTTCCTTTTCGATTAGTTTGTTTTCTTCTTCCTGTAGTTTACTTTGTTTTGTTGTTTCCAATCGAGCCACTTTTGGACCCAATTGGTATTGATTTATGTTTTTTAATAAAGTTGTGGACATGGTCCACATTTAAACTAAAAAAAGAGAGAGTATTGTTTTGTGATTTTTTCTTCAAAAATGTGTAATTTTGAGGGGGGGGGGGGGGGGGGGGGAACAAGTATGAAGAAAAAATAAAATTCTTAATGAGAAAAGATGAATATTTCTTAAACGAGACTTTTTCTAAGAGTATTATCTATAGTAATTTTTCTACTCATAATCGATTTTTCCAAGAAGTAAAATTAATTTATTTGTGTTACTAGAGATGATTTTAAAAAGAAGAAAAGGAATGAAAATAAATTGTTGGTTAATATTTTCAAGAAGGAGAGACAAATCCTTTGTTTTGATAAAGATGATATTGAAAAATAAAAAATAGTGCAACAATCCAACATTAATACCAATAAAAAGTACGATGAATGTCATTTAATTGTATCCCTTCGTGAAAAGGGTAACAAGAGAAAGAAAATGAGATATTTATTAATGAAAACGTATTCAAATATAATTGTGATAGAGATTCTAAAAATTAAATTAAATAAAAGGTAAAATATGATTCCCATAAAATCAGCTCACTAACCAATAAAATAGGTCTTAAATGGTGTAGCTATTTATTTTATGATAAATTGTCATAGTTATAATTAAAATGTTAATGTTATAAATAAAAATACTAGAATAATATTATGTAATTTAAAGTCTTAAATAGTATATTTTCATTAATTTTTCCTTTAATTAAATACATCTATTTTATGCTAATGTTACATACTAATGCCTCGTTAATTGACTAAATTTAACTTATATTACCCAATTAGCAACATGATGTCAGGAGACCAACATGGGTTGTGATGCACTGATGAGAGTGTTTCACCTTTAACCAGAGGTCTTGGGTTTGAGCCCTGGGTATGGAGAAAATCTTGTTGGGAGCGCCACCCCCGAATGGGCCCTGCAGAGCGCGATTCGAATTTAGTCGGAGCTCTAATGTGAGCTTCAAACACCGGGTGGAAAACAAAAAAAAATAAAAAATGATGTCAACAGATTAATGTTAATCACCTATTAAAATCACTCAAGACATTTGGTACATTAATATGGTTTCACCATTAACCAATTAGCAATGAGATCAAGAGGCCGGGCCGATCAAAGGGTCAAGCCACTAAAGCGATTAAATCGAAAACTATAGGCTTCAGAATTTTGAAAGCCTTAGTTTTTCTTTATTCGATATTTGATATTTTTATTGAATTTTTCAATTAATTCGATTCTAAGACACGTATGATCAATTAAAGAGGAAAATGCTCCCTAACTAAACAAAAAATCATTCTAAAACTCAAACCTTAGAACTCTAGTTTAAAAAGAATGAGGTCCAATTTTTACCTATAATAGATTTATAGGTAAAATTCATGATGATTATTGATTAATATGAATTCATGATGATTAATATGAATATTTTATTATAATATTTATATTTATATTAATTAATGTATAATCTAGATATTAAGAAGTAATTGAAAAATAAATAATTAATATTAAAAGTAAAATTAAATTGTTTCAAAACGATAAATAAAAATAAAAATTTATTTTTAAAATATTTGACAAATAAAAATAAACGAAGAAAATATTTTAGTAAATATAGCCGCAACAAGATTAGGCAAAGTGATTTAAATTTAACACGATGCACAAAAAGTCAAAAATTCAAATTGATGGGTTAGAAATTAGAAATATAACAACTCAAAGGACGTTAACATTTTATTGTCTTTAGTTTCGTAAGTAGACGTAATCGATATCTAAGTCAGAATTTGTATTAAAGGAAATTAAAATATGTATGAAAAGTAAACATAGGAAAAGGTCAGAGATGATATATTAACATATATATATTGAAGGTCTCAATTTTTCTTTATCCAATATTTGATATTTATATTAAATTTCCTGATTAATTCGATTTTGAGACAAACAGGATCAATCAAAGAGGAAAGTACTCCGTAGCTAAACAAAATATCATTACGAGACTCAAACCTCAAACCTCTAGTTTAAAAAGAATTGAAGTCCAATTCTTACCTATAATAAATTTTAGGTTAATTTTTCTTTTTAAGGATTGACCAAAAACAATAAACATCTCGTTAAAGTTGACTTTATTGAGCCGTTCTACCAGGATATTATTGATAATCACCAATAAAATTACTCAAAGACAACTGGTACATGAACATGGTTTTACCACTCCAGAAACAAGACGATAAAGGGCGAAAGCCTTGAAAGCAACAAAGTTGAAGATAGTAAGAGGTCGAATCTAAAGTCGCTAATGGACAAGTAAAAGTAAACGAAATGATGTAATATTGATAGAAATGACCAAACAAGTTGAGCACCTCCATCATTTAAAAACGAAAATACAGACACAAATAAACTAGATCAACACACATTAGCACATAATACTAATGTTAACACTAGAATCAACAAGCAAAATATTAGTCATATGTTTAACCACAATTTTCCAGCAGCCAAAAAGACTGCTATACTAGATACATAGGTGAAGATTCAAATAACTTGCTAGTTAATAGTTAGTAGTTAATACTAACAGTATGACGTTTCCGCAGGCGGTTTTCACACGTCTAGATTAGATAGCAAAATAACACCTGCGTCGATGGATTAGTTTTCCGGACACAACGACAATTTGTGTTGCTAACAAAAGATAAAGTCAGGTATGGCACTAACTATATATATCAGGAGAGCCAGGTATAAACAGAAGGGTCTTCTCTATATTCTTCATCCCTGCAAGAACAACAAATCTTTGTTATGAACAACGTTGAGGAATCGGTACAAACAAGTAAACTCAATGTTCCAAAAAAAGAGCGTTGGGATGTGGCAGGCGGAAAGGGGCCTGCCCAAGCACACACTTCTCCATTAGTTAGCCCATTCACTTCAAAGAACTTCACAAGAAATATTTAAAACAAAATGAATGTTATGATTACTCAATCTACCATCTTATTTTGGAAGCTTTGGAGAAATTCCATTGCATAATGGCCAGATGTACAACGGGGTGGCCATTCGTAACCATTAATAATCACCAACTTAGAAATGTAACGTGAAGTTCAAAAATCAAAGACACTAGCTAAAGTATAATGCAAGTTGGAAGAGGAAAAAAAGATGCAGGGAGGACGCAATCATGTAGAGGATTCAGAATTTATTAAACTACTTAATGATTGTAAAAACGTCTTTGACTAGATGTCTGTTTGAATGAAAAGTCAACTTGAAAACAAGATAATGGGTAGATGGATTATCGGTGTGACTAAGAAATAATGGAGAACTACGAGAACAGCAAGAGAGTAAATGAGCCAAAGTTTACACATTCCAAGTTGTAATTTTGTAAAGCAATCTGTCATAGACTGTCATTTTTCTGGTAAGGTCAAAGAAACTGAACAAATTTGATGATTTTCAAATTTATCTCGGACAAAAGATACGACAAGGTTTTAAATTGAGAAGGTAAGATTAGACAAGCAGAAAAGTAGTCAACTAAGATAAGACGATCTTAACTCCCAAACCTTTGGTTCGACTAGCAAGATTCTTTGATCACAAGTCCTGCAAACATTTTAAATTATAATGTGTTTCCCTATCTCACTAAGAAAAAAAGAGAATTTGGATTTAGACCTATACTCTTGTTCCCCGTATAAGATGAAACATGCATTTAACTTGCCTCTATACTCTAATTTTAAACTTTCCCGTGGTTGCTTTAAAGTTCCAACTTGAATTCCTCTATTACCAAGCAATAAAACGAAAGCAAGACTATGCAGCAAAACGATATGTACTTTAAAAAAAGTAAACTTGATGTCTATTTGAATGAAAAGTAAACTTGGAAACAAGATTAGGATAGATGGATTGTCAGTGACGCTAAGAAGAGAACTAAAAAGAACAAGAATCCAGAGCCAAAATGGCAACAATTTTTTGCTAAAATGCCAAAAGGGCAATCAACAACTGAAAAATACCAAAGGGGAAAAAGCACAGGGCTAACCACGCCTTGCCCCTTGTCCCGAAATGCCGTTTAACAATGTTAAGGGGAAGGCGCACGGCCCCACACACCTTATAAAGTGCAGGGGTGACCACGCCTTACACCCTGGTGGACCCCTTCCCCTTCTCACACCTCAGCCGCCACACACACACTGCACACTGCCCCAACCCTCCCTCCTTTTGGTCATTATTTTGTCACTTTTACAACTTTCATTTTTTTTAATAATGATGATGATATTTTAGTAAGTTTAGGCTCATCTCAATTATTTTACTAGATATTTAACTAGCGTTTGATCATGAAATTTGACTTGATTTTGAAAATCTGATTTTAAAGTTATCAAAAACTGGCTTAGATTAGTGATTCAGGACTTCCACTAACAAAACTTTAAAAAGAAATCAAGTAAAATGCAAGTCCATACACAACTTCAAATTTCAAAAAATCACAATTTCAAAAACTCAAATTTAAAATTTCAAAATCTATCCAAATGAGAGTTTACTACTTCACCTGTTTTAATTGATGTGACATCATCTAAATTAATACAAAATAAGAAAAAAAATAAAGACTTCTGAATTTGTGATTTAAATATGGAAAAATAACAACTGTATACATATAAAACATTTGAATCTTATAATCTTAAATATGTCATAACATTTGTGGGATTATGATTTATTTTCATTAAAAGGTAAAATGCAAAGTACAACACAGTAAAACAAAGGATTTTACTTTATAAATCATATTCACAGTTATGTGCCATTTTCAATTTTTTCTTTTAACCTTATTTTCATTTTACATACTGTTGATTTAATGGAGAGTAGATTTAGACCTGTATAATGTGATTTATATGCCAATTTATTAGAAGTGGAAGAAAAAAAAACATAAAAGTTCAAAAGAGATACAAAGCACTTGGACAATATAAAAGAGACAACTTCCTGAGGTGAACATATTGCAGTAATTGAGAGGAAGGGGGGTTGGGGCAGTGTGCGTGTGGCGGTTGAGGTGAGAAGGGGAAGGAGTCCACCAAGGTGTTAGGCGTGGTGGCCCTGCACCTTATAAGGCGTCTGGGGCCATGCGCCTTCCCCTTAACATTGTTAAACGGCATTAACAGGACAAGGGGCAAGACATGGGTAGCTCTGTGCCTTCGCCCCTTTGGTGTTTTTCAGTTTTTGATTGCCCTTTAGGGATTTTAGCAAAAGAATAACAAGAGAGTCAATGAGCCATAATTTACACATGGGGTGTCATATCAGCAACAATAAAGTGGTAATATAATACTATAAGATAAAACATGCATTTCAATTACCTCTATAATGTTAATATTGCTTCAGAGTTCCATTTTGATTTCCACTGTCACCGAGTCATCTCGTTGTTCAATCCCTTTCATCCTATCCTTTTCGTTGCCACCTTCATATAAAGGAACAAGACTTCCCAAACAGACAACGGATTCAAAAGTGTCCAATCCACCGCTAATCTTAGCATGTTTGAGCGACTTCCTTTCAAGACTATACCAAAGAAACTTCCTATTATCCATTTCCAGAAGAACTTCCTTACCAGTCACTGAATATGTTATTGGCCTCAAGTAACGGAAATGTTGTCGACCCTCTAACTGCTCAACTGAAAACAACTTAACCCAAGACTCTTTCACTCCGTAAACCTTCATCATCCATACGTCAATACGATCCAACACATGATTCTTCGCATTTGTACAAGTGAGATGGCCTTTCAGCAAGCAAAGACATTCTCCCAACACTGCCAAATTCATCTGTAACGAATTCCCCAAATTCTCTGGATACGCCACCTCCTGAAAACTCCCATTTCCAAGTTTAAGCCCCACAAGAATCAAAGGACTCCACCAAGCTGCCGGTTCCTTCGTTACAATCCAATGCAATGCACCTCCAGCACAAGCCCCATTATCCTCCTTAAGCAACCAGTAAGGACAATCCTGAACCTTCTTCCACACACCCAACTTCAAACTAAAAACCATCGTTTCCGAAACCAACGAAGGTTCAGCATCAGGATGATACAGTTGTGCAATCGTAACCACCTTATAATCATTAGCTAAACAATCAAACCCAAACCCCCCACGAATCTGAGCCAACCCCGGACCCCGTCCACCCGGGGGTTTCCTCGGAGGGTTAAACTGACAAAAGGGTAACTTCCTAAATACCTTAGTAGACGGATTCCAAACACCATTATCATTCATGTTATTAGAAATCAAAACCAACCCACGACAAGAACCCAGTACCTGAGTCGGTCCATAGAGGTGTTTCAGTGGATGTGCAAGCTCTCTGGGCATTTGGGTCGACGCCATTGAAGTGAAATCAAGCGAGAAAAGGTTATCAGCAACAATGTGAGCTTTGAGAATCAGCTTCAGATCGGAATTTGGTTTCAGTTCTTGATTTTTGAGGTGAGCTTCGATGAATTTAGGGCTATCGATAAGGGTTTTGATGGATTTCGATACGCACCTGAATCTTAACAACGACTTCACCGGAAGTCGAGAAAGTATCTCGGAGATAACTTCCGGCGGAATATCTGACATTTTTTGAGCTGAAAATGATCACTGCCGGCCGGTAGGGTTTTAGGATATACTAGAAATGGAAGAATGTAGAACTTTTGTCTCCTTATTCTAGACAAAATATTCCATATTATTTATGTTTTTTTCTTTTTGAAAAAAGAAGAAGAAGAAGAATATTCCATACTTGTTTTTTTTTTTTTTACAAAAATAAATAATTATTTGGTAAAAAGTTTTTTTATATTCCAAAATGAATGTATGTTTTGAAGGCCAAAGATGCACTCTTGCTAAATACTAGGGGTGTTCATGGTTTGGATAAAAACCGATCCAAACTGAAAAACCAAACCAAACCGATTAAATGAATCGATTTAATTTGGGTTTTGGTTTGGTTTGGTTTTAGATTGTTAAGAACTGATAGTCATTGGTTTGGTTATGGTTTTGTTCGAAAAAAATCAAAGAAATAATTGAATCGAGCCAACAAGTTATATACATAAATTTTATTACTATACATACATACATAATATATTATATTCATAAACAATTTTAAAGATTTTACATATATTTCATCAAAATTTATTTATAATTTACTTATGAAAGAAAAAATGTCCAATGTGAGAACATTTTTCTTATTGGTTTCATGTATATGAGTGTCTATGGAAATTCATTGTGAGACTGAAAATGTCATTGTCTCTTCCCTATGCCAAAATAGTGAATTTTGAAGTTTTATTCAGTAAATTCAATGATCCAAAGTTCTGTAATGCCAGTCATTCTAACTATTTTTTTGTTTGAATGGATTGTTGCCACTTTTTTCACGTTTTGAATAAATTGTTTCTTTTATTTTTATGTATGGTTAATAACCGAATAACCGAACCAAACCAAACCAAAATCGAAAACAACCAAACCGATAAATGCATATTATATTTGGTTTGGTTTGGTTTTGATAATTTTAAAACCGATTAAGTTGGTTTGGTTTTGGTTTTGACCAATAACCGACCCAAACCAACCCGTGAACCCCCTACTAAATACTAATCATAATTTTGTTTCTTTAAAAGTGAGATGTTGACTAATATTATAATATTTAGGTTAAGTGGTTTCTATTCAATTGAGATGTGAATTGTTGTGACAAATCACTTCTCGAAATTCTACATCGATCACTTCCAAACATGGATATGTATGTATGGCGCCGTATGTGCATTGATTACATGCAACTGAACAAAGTGACGTTGAAGAATAAGTACGGCTATGAGATATTCTATTTATTCGTAAAGGCTTGAATGATTCTACTACGGTGCCACAAATTCGCAAGTTGATCCTAAATATTCGTTGTTGTTCATTGGATTTCGGAGGAACTACTTCGTTAGGATTGGGGAATTGCTGCGATTCTTTCTGAATAGCCTGGATTCTCCCGTGGGATATATGTATCTATGTGGGGTATTATGGCCTTGACGGCCTTGTTGTTAGCTGTCTATTATGCTTCAATGCTTGACATAGCTTCATTAATAACATCAATCACCGACACCCCATTTGCAATTAATTAGGTTGTTTCATGGATTTACACACATTGAGGTTCACTTCGTCATCATTCATTCACTCGAAATTTAAGCTCACCACTCTCGACATCTAGTATGCGTGATTGCTTTCCTGTGGTGAGATGACAACCTAGTCTCATTCAGGACCCTACTCCTTTTAGTGTCATAGCTGATCTAAAGTGAGATTCTGATATGGATTAAATAGTGGCATTGTTAATTTAATGTAAGATTCTGGGACAAACTTTACAATGATAACTCTTATATGCAAGTTGTTAGAGCTATTACAAAAAGGATTGTTATAGAGGATAAAAATCAGTTGTCACAAAATACTTCAATGGTAGATCAAACGTATTTGGATAGGGTTCACATATATCTCACAATGCAGGGAAACAAATTGACTAGTTTTTGTCTTCAAATCCATTTTTCATGGGCGCGAGTCACTTTCTTTAACTAGCTATTTACAAGTCCAATAAAGGATAATTCAGTATAAGGAGAAGAAAAAATTCTTCATAACCAATAAGAAACCTTTATCTTTCACAAAATATTAAGGAAGTAATGGACTCATAAAAATTCTTTATTCTTTGCATTATGTAAGAAAAGAGAAAACTAGCAAAGGTAAGGAATAATTCCAACAAACTTGTCAAATCGGAAGACTCTAAACACTTAAAGGGATCGTTTGGTAGAGAGTATAAAAATAATGTTGATGACATGACAATATTTTGAATAGGTTTAATTTTGATAGTGACAAAGTGCATCAGTTCACAATCCTGTAGCAGAATCAAGAGAAAACGCGGGAATTGAAAAAACCTTATTAAGAGGAGAAGACTCCTAAATAAGGAAAAGAAGTGAAGAGGACTCCTTATAAGGAAAAGAAAGTTAACTGAGTTAAAGTAACTACTTTTCTTATAGGATTCAACTAGGGTTTAATCCACTCCTATAAAAGGATGGTTGATAAAGAGAATCAAAGCTTTTACAATTCATAAATCGAGAGCATTTTGCAACAAGAGCACGTGATGACACTGAAAGAGCAAGACGACAGAAGAAAGAAGAACTAGAGTTAGGTTTTCTTTCTAAAGCATAGTTTGTGTTATTTCAACTTAGAACCATTATTTAGTGATAATTGTTCTAAGTGTGAAAGTGAGGTTTTGTAACAAGAAGTGAATTTGACTTTTTCGAGAGTAGAGTAAACGATTATACTTAATCGTTGAACAATTTGAGTAAACTGTTGAGGTGCGGTACTAAAGTTGGTCCCTTTGATTATAGAGTTGTAATCTAATGTTACTCTTTGAGGTTAGTGAAGTTTGGTGAAATCCTATGACGTGTAGGTAGTGGTTTTTCTTCCCTTGAGTAAGAAGATTTTCCACAATAAATCTCTGTTTAGTGTGTTATGTTTTATTTCTGCTAATTCAACAAGAACCTGGTTCTTGTTTTAGGTTGTTAAGGTTTCTTTACATGCTAAATAGAGTATTTTAGTAATGTTTGCATTAGCTAGCAATGCATGTATTAGTTATATTTGCATTAGTTATACATAAATTATTTTTATGCATTGTTTGGTTTGATGCATTAAAAATATCATGCATTGCATAAAATAATATTTATTTACAAAGATACCCTCCATTATTATAGTGGAAAAGATGTAAAATAAAATTGAGGGGTAATTGGGTCTTTAATCATACTAATGCATGCATTAGAACCATTGCATTGTTAATACCTAAAAATCCATGGTATTAGTAATACACACCTTAATACACAATAGAGTGTATAAATAGGTTAGAAAAGAGTACCAAACAAGATACTAGTAATACACAAGGTTAATGCATTGCATTACTTTTCCTAATAACACTCTTGGAAGAGTGTATAAAAATAATGTTAAATAGAATGTATTGATGATGCTTGTATTAGTTATGTTTACATTATTTATACATATATTATTTCTTATGCATTATTTGGTTTGGTGTATTTAAAATAACATGTATTGTATAAAAAAAAATTATTTACAAAAGTATACTCCACAATTATGGTGGAAAAGATGTAAAGGAGGTTTTGAAGGGTAAATAATTGGGCCTTTAACCATCCTAATTAGAGTTGTCAAAATGGGTTTGGCCCACTAGGCAGGCCCAACCCAACCCTTGAATTAAGTGGGATTGGGCCTAATTTTTTTGGCCTATTTAGGAACAAGACTTTTTAGCCCAATCCATATGGCCTGCTAGACTCGTAGGCCCAACCCACTCAGAGGCCAGCCCGTGAGCTATGAATATTTAAAAATATTTATATATATATATATATATAGTAGTGTTTTATTTGTAAAGTTTTTATCAATAAATATTTTTAAAAATAAAAATCAAATCTTTTAAACTAGCTAGTTTTTTGTTGGAGGAATAGTGGAATGATCAACATTTTTCGCTAAATCTTACGTTGACTATTATGTATTTTTGTATGTATTCACCGAAGTGTGTGATTCATAAATGTATTTTTGTAAGTATTCACCGAAGTGTGTGATTCATAAATTAAAATTTGTATGTATTGATGTCGTGTTCATAAATGTCAACGTTCGATACTTTTAGATACTCTTTCTAAGAGAGTAATATTATTCATTTTTTGGTTGAAGGGACAACCCGTCCCAACCCGTGGCCCGCTTAGGGCTGGGTTGGGCTGCTATTTTATAGGCCTTTTAATTAAAAGGGTCAGCTCGTCCCAACCCATTTAACTCCCTAGCCCGTTAGGGTTGGGTTGGGCCAGCCCATTTTGACAGCTCTAATCCTAATGCATGCATTAAATCCCTTTGTACTACTAATGTCACACCCCGAGTCTACACCCCGAACGTGATTGGCACTCGAGAACCATTGCTGGCCCCAAACGAACCCTTGGCCTGGCTTACTTAACTCAGCGGAAGACTCTAAGCATGATTACAATGATCAAATAAACTTCATAATATAACTTAGAATGTTAAAAGAAATAAACATTCAACTTGGCCAAAATGGCAACTCAAGTCTTAACATAAGATCAAATGAGAAGACTAAAAAACTAATGACTAACTGTCTATGAAACCTCTAAAAACAACTGAGATGGATGTTGGGACAAACCCCACAACATCCTAATGAACTAAACTAGAAAGCAAATAAAGAAGTCCTCTGAATGCAAGCTGGAGACTCACCACAGACTGAGTGCTCAAGCTGGATCAACGAGGCACTGGATGTTGATCCTGATTACCTGCGTCTGCATCATAAGAAGATGCAGGCCAACTGGCATCAGTACATTGAATGTACGAGTATGCGAGTTGGAAAGCTAAACAATAACTTAAGCTTGGAAAAAGTACAAAGGAACACTTACCTTGGCTCTGTTTAACTCATGAATAACTGAACTCAATATAAAGCAATACGACACATGCAATATATCAAAACTTGTAAAACAGTGTAAACAACTTAGTTCATTAAAGATAAAGCAATAACAAACTCAACTTTACTTAAATATAAAAGTAATATAATTTTTGTGGGAGATTCTCTAACCCACAACCGTCACTATGAGCCTAAGTGGTGATACAACGTCTTGCCCACGCTGCCAGAACTGTCCTATA